CAGACCACGTAGGGCTACATGGCACAATATTTCCCATAAGACTAAACAACAACAACATCAAAAGAGATCAACAGAAAGGAACTTAAGTGTAGAAATCTTAAGCCTGAGATACCTTTCCAACAGTCAAGCAGAGCCACACACAGATACATGTACCTGGCTGCATACCAGAGATGAAGCATCTCTGCCATCAGGGTGGATGGAATTACTGGGAGAAAGCACAGAATGAGAAGAGAAATATGTATTTTGAATAACATAGAGTAAGATTTATAAGAAGACAGAGGCCAGAGCAGCTGGAAAGAGTGGGGAAGCTAAAATCTGAGAGTAGTTAACTATGACAGAAAGCTGTCAGTCACGTGGAAAGGTGAGTGTCTTTCAATAGCAGGTCTATTGGAGTTAGAAACATGGACATTAAAAACTCAAAAGAAGTATGTTTCTCAATGGATAGAGAGCAGCTTGGATGGGAGCGAACAGGTCTAGATGGGAGGCTAGTGAGATGCTCGCCAGCTGCAGCAATGACGGAGTGGAGAGCAAGCAGACTCTCTTGCAGGTGAGATATGACCTCCTTAATTTCACCCAAGCTAAAGCTCTCCAGATTGGCTGGTCTGAGCTGATCATGGAAGACTCCCTTTACAATCCTAGAAGACAATGTAGGCAAGAGGCTCTCTAGCCACAGCCATTCCCCCATTTCAGCTCCACCTCACCCATCCTGGCAAGACAGCTTCTTCCTGTTCAAACTTCACCCAGGAAATCATTCGGGTTTTGAATTGAGCATTTGGGGCTGTTCTTCTGCCTCTGCTGGACAGCTTCTGCACACCCAAGAGGTATGAAGAAGACACAGAGAAACTCCTACCAACCCCTAGTGATGAAGAGCTGACCTTACCTTTTCCTTTTCTAGACGTTACGTGATGCTTCCCAAGAGGCCCCAACCTACCTATGAGATTTCAGCCACTCCTGTCTGTGCACACTCCACACAGCCTAGTCCTTGCCCTTTAAAACACTTTCTTCCGCTGCCCCTGAACCTCTTGTTTCTCTGTTTTGGAACTAGTCCCCTCCCCTTGCCTTGGTGGATGTTCTCCATATTGTAGAGACCATCTAGAGACACTGTGCCTTCAGAAAACCCTTCCTGGTTCTTCTCAAGACGTTTTTCTCACCCCCAGCACAGTACTGGTTTCCCTGGTGCGAGGGAGCGAGGAGGCAACTACAAAAGCCATTGTTTGCTCTGTGGTGCTTGTAAGTCAGGACACCTGGTAAGTTTGTGTTCACTGAGGGCTGACTGGGAAGCCAGCCGCTCTTCTTCATGGAGGAGGAAGACTTTGAACATTCTGCTGAAGACCGCATTAACCAGACTCAACTCAGAAAGAAGGAAGTGTCGCAAGTGGTCACCTGGCTCATCATAGTCACTTGGGGAAATACTAAATCACTTACATTCAAGTTCGAATTACAACATCATCGCCATCAACAACTTCAAATGTTCCTTTAGAAGTCTCCCCTTCAAAATGGAAATGAAATCCACGTTGGGATTCCATCCCACTCTGGTCAGATTGGCTATGATCAAGGGAAAACAATGACAATAAATGCTGGCAAGGATGTGGAGAAGGAAGACCCCATATTCAGTATTGGTGGGAGTGTAAACCTAGTATATCCATGATGGAAATCAGTATGACACTGTCTAAAAAGAATAAAATAAACTACTATATGAACTACCATACCATACAATACCACATCATACCACTACCAACCATACCACACCACACACCATACCAACCATACTATACTATACCAACCATACCATACCAACCATACCATACCAACCATACCATACCATACCACAGAACCACATCACTCCTAGGCATATACCCAGAGGATTCTATATCCAACTACAGAGATATCTGCATATCCATGTCTGTTGCTGCATTATTCACAAGAAGAAGAAAATGGAACTAGCTCAGAATCCATCAGCAGAAGGATGGAGAATAAGAACGTGGTGCATAGATCCAGTGGAATTTTTACTTAACCATTAAGAGAATTAAAATGATGAAACCTGAAAGAAAATGGATGGATCTACAGAGTATCATTTTAAAGTAAGGTTCCTGACCTCAGAAAGAAAAAAACAAAATGAAACAAGCCTCCAGAACAACTACAACCCCTCCCCAAATTCTCATGTTCTCTCTTATAGACTATGAAACCTAGGTAGGAAGCCACAAGAGGGGAACAAGAACTATTGAGAAAGAGGGGGAAAGGTCAAAAGGTCAGATGTAACAGGAAAGTAGAAAGGAGGCTACAGGGGTCAAAAGGCACAGGAAGGGAAGAGGACTAGTGGGGGGGGGGCGAAGAGAAATGAGAACAAAAGTTTTGTTTGAAAAATGCCATAATGAAACCTAATTCTATGCTCTCCCTCCCTGGAGGAAGTTCAACATTTAAAGCACAAAGCCATGTTCTCTTTCAATCCTGAAACCAGCCGTTTCTTGCTGTTTTAGCTGCGGATTTAGTACTGCACAATTCCTTCGAAAATCTTGAAAAGGCACCTTTCTCACCCAAACTTCGCTGCGCCGCATTTTTGTGCCAGAGCGCTGGACTGGAGTGAAAATCCAGCCTGCAGTGTCTGCCGCTCGTGGCACTGGTGAAAGCAGTCAGGACAATCAACCAGCGGCGACAGAAACTTCTGTGCCATACGCGTTCCCATTAAAAAGTTTACATTGGCAAAGTTTTCAGTGCCTAAACATTCTGTAGAAACTGATTCAGGCTCCAAAGTGGCCCTAAACACATAGCAATTATTACAACCACAAAGAGATCGCTTGACTCTGGATACAGATCTATAATAATGCAATTTATGATTTCTTGGGGACTGTTCCTGCTTCCCTGCAAGAACAACACAGAAACCAGCAATCTTAAAATATCAGAACTAGAAGTTAAATGAAATGAGCGAAATTGTTCCAAACCCAAATGTAAGAATTCAGTAGGGTATGTCAAAGCACTATATTGTAAGGAATTCACGCCTGTGCAAATTGATTCCAAGGTAGACACACCCTCCCCTAGATAGAAAAAAGTTCTGCTATCATATGTTTGCAGCTCAACTTAACTTCTTTGGCAGGATATATTTAATAGAAGAAATTAGCATATATATATGTATATTATATTGTATTTACTGATTTACAAGGGACTTGAGGCCAAAGAGGTCACTCCTGTGTAGTCATGGGAAATATGGGGCTGTTCCTGCTCAGTTCCTCCATGCTCCGTTTACTAAGGGATTCAGGCTTTGTGACTGTCTCCAGAAAGATTACTGCCTGCCCTGCCCCCGATCAGGGTGAGGCCAGGGGCATCAGATAGATGCCCTCTTCCCTAGCCAGGTTTTCTCTGACTTGGGTGAAAAGAGTGAGTTTCAAACAGGCCCAAACAAAACAAACAGTTCTAACACACACGTGTAAAGAAACAAAACAAACAGTTCTAACACACACGTGTAAAGAAAAAAAAAACCAGTCATTTCAGGTTGTATCTTTTTAGATGGAATGGTTCACCCAAAATACTATGTCCCCCATTTCTCTCACTTCCAAAAAGACGAGAACAAAGTGTGCTTAGGCGTATTGCAAAGCAGGGTTCACATTTCTTCACCACCAACCACTTTTCTCCACTGAGCTTTTATGCTTAAAGAGCAAAGTGCAAACTCTGGGAGGAAAAGGAAACAAAACGATCTGTCAAAATTCCTTTTAGCACCTATGACTAGTGTTAACTTACATGCTCTGAGAGTGCAAGAAAAAGCCCCAAGACGGCTGCTAAAAAGATGATTTGACCTTTTAAAACGAGAACTCCCCCATCCCATATCCATTTTAAATAGGTAAATCTTGAAAGCACCATAATTTTAGATTTAAGAAGTGAAATGAGGTTGAATTTCCAGAAAAGGGGTTTCCCTAAAGGCTACAAGCTGATAATTAGGGTGTTCTAGACTGACGCTGTAATAGGAGGCAGAATGCAGGCCCCAAATCTAGCCACCTATGGTCGCCAAGTGCACAGAGTCTCGTTCTGAAAAGGGACAGGCGGGCAGATGAAAATTTAGTAAGTAAAAAAGTCCAGAAGGCGACCTCCCAAAGCCTGCGGTTCCAGGGCAGGATGTCCGCCCCTGGTGGCGGCAGAGCCCTGGCGATCTAGGTGCACCGCAGCTGCCAAACCCTCAGCGCGCACCAACCAGCGCTGCTGAAGGAAGTTGGAGAGCTCCCAGCCAGCTGACTGGATTCGGCGGTGGGCGCCTGGGAATCCCTTCCAGCGCTGCAATTAGGAAAGTTTTGAAAAGTAAAGACCCCAGACAGTTGAAGGGACTCATCCTTTCCTTGAGCCTAAGAAACATCTCGTGCCGCACCAACCGGCTGCTAGCACAAGGCCACCAGTTCTGCCTGGCCCGGGAGTCTTCCAGCTTCCCACCACCCCAGAACTGGTCTTTGGGGCGCATCACTAGAGAGGCTCTCTGCCCGGCTGGAGGTTCCAGACCAAGATACCGCTATGCTCTCTGGCCTGGAGGGCGATAGCAGAATCTCTAACTCCTACTCGGACACCCTGTACCTTCTCTTCCAAGCCGGCTAGGTTTTCTCCAAAGGACGCACGACACAGACCATGCGCCCCCGGCACTTCACTCCTCTCCCCAAACTCTTCCAGGGGAGACCCACAAGCACAAACTGTGCCCACAAACTCCCATGACACTCGCCAACCACCCCATCTTTGCCTCTCGAGCCCTCCTAGTTGCGTTCTTCCTGCCCCTCACTATCCTCTTCGCCTTTCTGAGGAAGTCAGAAGCAAAGAACAAGAAAATGCCTTCGCTAGGAGCCTCCCGTCACCCGCCCTGTCACTGAAACAAAAGCGCAGGGAGGAGGGAGGTGGGTGGGGAGGCGAGAGGAAGGTTCAGAGGGAGATGGGGACAACGGTAAGGGGGACTGGGAAGGGGACCGGAATGGAGAGCGGAGAGAGGGGCCAGGACCCCGCTCCCGCGCTGCGTGGCGTGGCCGGTCGCTTACATGCCCAGGTCGCTGTAGGTGTTGAAGAACTCCATCTGGTTGC